GTGACTATTACAAAGCTTCTCATAGAGCCGTCACTATTGTTTTGCCCGTCCGAGTGCCCTACAGGCTCATTGTGAATCTCATTGAACTTCTGACTTTCAAGTCAAGTTCAGTTTTGAACTAAATCCTAAGGTGAAGCGACCCAGAGGACTACCCTACACCTCTAGAGCATATGTTGTGTCCAGAGTGACATGGTTTGTCCGCAAACTCATGCACGTCGCGTCTCAACTTGGCCGTAAGCATTTAGCTATAGGATACAAGAGCGCGCCGGTTCGCGCTTCGGCACTTCGTCTAGAGTTCATTAAACTTTAGACGCCATCGGCCGGAGATGCCCGAGCGGAGTTTCAAGGCTTCAGACAGACACACGTTATTTTATAAAGAGTAGAATGTAGCGGATCTGAACTACAATATTTTAGGCCTACTGGCTCTATCACTAATTGCGCACGAATTAGGCCGAATTATCTGGCTAGTTTTCAGGTCCATACGTGCCAAACTCAGCGAGATACAGGCAATTCTTTCGCGGGGATCAAAATCTGCCCAAAACGGCAATTTTCGATTCGCGCCCTCGGTACTGTCATTAGCTGTAAGACCAAGTTGAACAGAGCGGGACCGAATGATCTCCTTTGTGTGGCTGGAACCAATCATCAGAGAGGGGTTTCGACATTTATTCCGATCTCCAGACAAACAGCCTATAGAAGACAGCAGGAGTTCAAGATACCCCTTGGAAAATGGATTGCCTCCGGGTGGGTACAGCAAGACTTTGAACTCACCTGGATCTCATCCACGGGAACGATGGATGAAGGAATTGCAGGATCAGAATTTTTGCTGGCAAGGGCCAGCAAGGGACGTGACTGACGTAACGTCGCATTTCAAAGGCGAAGCGGAATTTAAACCTTGGTTGAACCTCCTTGCGCTCAACGGTAACGACAAAGTTGAACCACAACTAAACAAGAACAAACATGGCATATATTGGAATGTTGTGTCGTTATAGCAGTCGGGACAATGGTCTGCGCCAATGGGAACTTATTCCTGCACTTGCGCGCGTCAATGCCTGCGGGACACAGTGCCCGTGTGACATTCATGCGTCAATCGTGCGCCTGCTGGACTTTGCAGGTCCTCAAGCATCCCTCTTCGGATTTCGGCTTCGTTGACGGCCTGTATGCGTAGTTTGCTGTGGTCTTGGACTGAATCCATGTCGCAGTTAATGAGTATGCGTCAGTGACATACATCACTTGCGTCCCTGCAATGTAAACTGCATCACACTGCGTCAATGTCACCCAAGGTTGGAAACGGCACAAGATTTCTGTGTCACAAGCAGGAGTTCGGAGACGTAACTGGAGTTCTTTTATCGCCCCTCCGAACGACTTCAGAGACATCTCCTTCCATAAATATAGAGCATGTCGCACGACCTTGTAGCACGAACCTACAGTAAGCCTGTATTATCAGAGAGTACTTCGGCGCAGGTCGAGGTCATCACGCACAAGTAGCTAGAGCGAGGGTGCACACGGGAGCTTAGCCCAATATTACAGATAGGAAGCATCGATAGTGTACGGTTACACGCACCATTCCAGTTTGACTGTTCTCGACGAGTTACGTGAGCAGGGGTTTGACTCCCTGCCAGTGCATATATGTCCCCTTCTGTTCCCATGTTTTTCGGCCGTTTGAATTGTAACTGGGCATCCCCCTCGATGATATAGGGGATTTTGCACGACACCGTGATCCCGAACACAGTATCCAACCCTGGCACAAAGCCTCACACTCACCCAGCATAAATATAGCCTGCAAGCATCGGTTACACCCGCCTTTCCAATATCCCGATGGCTGTAAACTTCCGGGCGCGCCGGGGTTCGACTTCCCTCCGGTGCGTGACAGGATCCTGTACCTTTTTCATCCTCCCGGCTATTTGGCATCGAAGAATGCAGTGTTTGTGTATCTCCCGATAATGTCTCGATGGGTGGTCCAACAGGGGTTCAGGAAACGATTTTTCTATCCGATGAAAGCCCTTTCCTGACCCGCGGACAAAGGCTCGCACTCACCCGAGCTATTGTCCTCGAGCCAGGCCTTGAATATTCTATGACCGGAACGGCATTGAAGTTTTAGTTTGAGTTACTTGGGAATTACAAGGTGTCACACCTTTACCGTGAAGGCAGCGTTGAATGATGCATTACCGTTACTGAAGAACGGATCATAGTGCAAAATGCAACATCCCCGAGATCCCCGATGCCGACGAGTGGCGCTTCGGGCCGTCCTGGCTGATCGGGATCTCTGATGGGCTGATTCGGTAGTGATGCGCGTGACGTGTGGTCGGCTCTCGAGAGGGACAAGCTTTTCTTGGTACTCTCCTCTCTGTTTTTGTCTGAGGTCTTCAAAGATCTCAACCAAAAATCAGAATGAAAGAATGGAGAAAAAACACGCATCACGGACATCTTCCGAGATCTTCAAAGATCTTCAAAGATCTTTAAAGATCTCGGCAAACAGCTCAACTTGCCCATCATCTTTATATTTCTTTACACTTCTTTCGAGATCTAGAGAAAAAAAGTCCTACCAAGAGAAAAACCTGGGTTTTGTCCCACAAGGACCCTCAAATCATAAACATATTTTTTTTTTCACAAAAAAACATTACAGCTGATCTCGAAACTGATGAGATCGGCGATGTTTTTTTTGCCATTCCCAAAAAGGAAATTTTGAAACAAAAGGTGCGCAGCAGCCCAGGCATGAGTATGAGATGGAAATAAGGACTTGACTGTGTTGTAGCTGCAAAATCCTTGCCATATTCTGTCCTTTGAGTGCGCTATAACACCTCGACAGAGATGCTCCGGGATCGGATCATGTCAATCAATTGATGGACAGCTCGGCTTCTAGTTGCCGCTTTCTGTTTGATAACTCGTTCAAAACGGTGTAGGTTATCGATGATTACCCCAATGTCGCACTCAATGCCCTATACACTCAAAATTTCCTTTTTGGGAACCAGAAAGAAAAATCTTGCAGATCTCATTAGTTTCGAGATCAGCTGTAATAAATCAGGCATTATGATGGAACAAATATTATGTAAAATATAACATGTCTGGACATCATTCACTCAAGCTACTTTATGTAATGATGAAGGGATCGAGCAGAAGTCCATTGAATGTCTGCTGAATGTGCACTCATGGACTCACATGACGAAGGAGGGGGGAGGGGCGAGGGGGGGGGGGGGGGAGGGGGGGAGTTGTGTGGTGTTTGTGTTGATGTCTACAGGGTGTCCGCTGGATGTCCACTGGGTGATGTCCGCTGGATGTCCGCTGGGATGTCCGCTGGGTGATGTCTGGGTGATGTGTCCGCTGGGTGATGTCCGCTGGATGTCCGCTGGGATGTCCGCTGGATGTCCGCTGGGATGTCCGCTGGGTGATGTCCGCTGGATGTCCGCTGGGATGTCCGCTGGGTGATGTCCGCTGGATGTCCGCTGGGATGTCCGCTGGGTGATGTCCGCTGGATGTCCGCTGGGATGTCCGCTGGGATGTCCGCTGGGTGATGTCCGCTGGATGTCCGCTGGGATGTCCGCTGGGTGATGTCCGCTGGATGTCCGCTGGGATGTCCGCTGGGTGATGTCCGCTGGATGTCCGCTGGGATGTCCGCTGTTTGTGGACATTTGTGGACATTTTGTGGACATTTTTCCAGGGTAGGTGTTCAAAAATGTGGATTGAAGCAAAATCGTCTTGTGACTTCCAGTCTTGCCAGAGGTTTCAGGTCCGAACCGTTGCAGCAGCGATCCTGCATCCATCGCCATCCTCAAGCCAGGAAGCATCTCCAGGTCGTGGTGTGTTTGGCTGGGGCCCAGGGGCGCACGCCGGCTCCTGGGACGGGCCTCCGCGACCAGGCCCGGTTTTCATGGCGGAACGACCTAGGTCTCCGCGGACCTAAACTTGACAGGACGGTCGAAATTAATTCAGCATAGCCGAACTGCGGTCTCGTTGTCATCCACGCGGATCCTGCTCAGGTCGTATTCAGCCAGCCGTAACAGGTGTCTGTACCCGCACCCCCGTCGCGGAAGCTCGGGGAATACGAACCGTCAATTTTCCGAATTTATTGCGTCTACGCCCATTTCGTTCAAATTTTGCTGTGGACTGCATTAGGATTGCTGGGAGATGAATCCCCGCTTAGCCCGATTGAACCGCGTGAGTCAACCCATACTTGTTGCGGCCAAATTGCGACGGAGACGTCGGTTTCTGGATTCAACTGCCGGCACACGGCACAGTGGAACACGGGTAACTGGACTGGCGTCGAAAAAAAACCGCAAAAGACTGTATGTAACCGGCGGCCGCCATGGCCTTTTCCAGCTTCTGCTGCGAATTCAACCCTGCCGAAGCAAGCAAGGGCGACCGCACCATGCATCCTCGCGACGCGAAATGAACTGTCAGATGCGAGACGGCCGCCGCGACGAGAAGGAGATACATTACATGCTTACCACCAAAAGGAACGGCGTGTGGTTCGGAGATCCGCCGTAAGTACAATGCCAGTGCGTGTACTTACAATTGGACACTGTTGTGATTTTGTTGCGATGGTTTCTGATCGAATTCTTTCTTTGCCACTGGCAGCGTAGCCCGCCGCTTGCGATCCAACCGCCTTAAGGCGTGCCAACCAAGTCCTAGTTGCCAAACTCGTATTCCATTGCGTTTCCGGAATGAATGTTCTGTTTCAATCTGGTGAAAGAGGTGGCTTTGCGTTTGCAGTTAGTTCGGCGGGGCCGGTTTTGCAATGCCGATATGCCGAAGGACGGCATCAACACGGCATCATTATTTCATGCACTGCCGCAACTTGGCGAAGTTGAAAAAATCCCGTGGGGTTGCGACGATAAGCACCTGTGTTCGACTTTGGTTGGAACGAGAATTATATGGGTAGCCCCTGGGCAATTAATCGGATGAACACAGTCGTAGATCTGAATCCACAATGCCACCCTTAGTAAGTCATCTCGCAGTCCGGGGTTCGACTCCCCGCGTCCGAATAGGTAGTCCACGTCACTTGATCGGATGTGGTGTATGGAACACAGCGAGCGGTCGTAGATCGATAATACCGCCCCCGAGTTATCTCGCAGTCCGGGGTTCGATTCCCCGCATCCGAATGAGACGTGACGTAAGTAGATCCTCTTTTTCCTTTTCTTTTCCCAGTTCCCGTATTCTTCACTAATCTATCGTAACTTATCCACCCCACTACTTACAATGACAATGTGAACCGCCTTCCACCAATTTCCTCGCAGTCCCACTGGCAATGATGCGGTATTTGACTGATCGACATACATGAACATTGAACCACATGAACAATTTTACTGGGCATATTGCTCAGTCATAAACACGAATAATAAATCGGATGTGGCGTACGGAACACAGCGAGCGTCATTAGATGATACATTTCTAATTGACGACTTGAACTCGAAGTTCGGGGTTCGACTTCCGCATTCGACTACTGCACCGGTAGGATCGTGTTGATTTTTTTGTCCGGCTTGCCTCGGCTTGGCTTTCGGGGATATTGTGAAGGCGGTGCAGTGAATGGAGGTGTGCTCGAGGAAGAAGGCTGTATTGATTGAATTGGCAAAACGGAAGAGCTTGCCTGCGCATCAGGTGAAGTACTAGTGAGGGATGTTCGTTTGAGTTGGACGCGGAATGTGTTTATCCCGCCGAGAACGCTTTTGAGTACTTAACCTCAGCCACAATGAGCTCGGGCACGCCGACGGCGACTCGAAGAGTCCAATGCACTTCTTCAGTAATCCCAGATGACGCAGCGGACCCGGAATCCTTACTCATTACCAGCTCATTACCATATCAACACGTTCTACCTCGGGGAACTGCGTCAGCGTCCACCTCGCGGTAATGTTGAATGACACACGGCGGCACAATTTCGCACAAAACGGAAGTCGCGTAGTGTGGGTGAATCGCCGACTCGGAAGACATGGGGAATGAAGCGTAAATTCCCACCAGCGGAGGCTGAACATGCCTATACAGCCCCGTTCCTAGTTCGATTGGGGATTTTCTTTCACTCGTGGAGCCCAAGGTTGAATCCTAAAATGGAGATGTGGGAATGCTGGGGGAAAGTTGCCTTTTGGAGTGGGTTTGCGCCGACGGTAAGTATAAGCGGGGAGAAGAGGCACACAGAATTCATACGCGCAAGCGAAGTCCGGAACTCTGCGAGTCGCGTATGTATAGCGACTGTTGGCTACTGTCGGCCGAGGTAAGTAGGGGTCAAAGTGAGTTGAATGTTCAACATTCTCCCTCTGAATGCCCTCCGGGACATTGATTCGATATTCACCAGTTCCCGTAGAGGCGGTGGCAGTAAATTGTTGGCGTTGACCAGGGATTATAATCGTGGCCTACAAGGATTCAGAATAATGTTAGCCAGTCAGTCGAGAGGCGGCAACCCATCGCGTAAGTTCAACCTCGCCGACTCGCAGACAACCTGCGGAATGTTCAAGATGATTATCAACCGACCCGGCGGCAAACCTGGTTGAAGTACTCACTGTTGAACAAGTAACGGCCATGTTAGGCGGAAGCGGCAAGCGAGCATTGGAAGCGCAGGCGAGCCCGGAACTTTGCGTCGCGTACAGAGATTCAAGACAGGTGGAATGCTCAGCGAGGCACGCCGCGGAGGTTGAAGGTTTGAACATACGGTTGCGTCCCCGAATCCGAATTGGAGTTGATATTCCTACGAATCCCAATTCGTGAAGTTGAAGAGTGAGCGTGATGTAGAGTAAATAATTACTAACCAAGTTGCTCACTGGAAGACCAACCATTCGCGAATAACGAGATCCCGCCTCCGCCCCGGCGCAATCAGGCAATTACCGGCACTTTGCGCGTCGCGTAGCGCCTAGTAAAGCAGTGGGGATGAAATTGCTTGAGTAGCCGGCACGGTGTGAGACGTGTGTGGATGGTCGATTGCAGCAGCTGTAATTTTGAAAACCACGCGGATAGAATTTTGTTTAGGTCCAAGTCCAGGCCCACTGGCCCAGGGTGTAAATTGTAAATTGAAAAGGTCCTACTGCAGAATGAATAGCGAATGAGCACCCAGGGAACCCCGCGACGCCTAGTCCAAAGCCAGCCACGAAAATAAGCCAACTCACACAGATAAAAATACGCGCGTCCACGCAGGATTCGGATAAGCACTAAGCAAGCAACGAAAATAAAACAAACACCGGACACCCGCCGCCTCATTGTATTTGTGTCGTGGCGGACGCACATCGCGGAGTGCGTTGTCCACAAAGTCTAGACCAGTGGAGCTCGAGCGAAAGGGATCAAAGATGTGCCTGCCCAGCGACGTGGACGTCGGTGGCGGTTGCCCGATTCCAGCGCTGTTCGAACGTCGGCGGCATTGGCGCTCCAAGCAAGCTCCAAGAAAAGAAATGACCCTCTTCGCAGCGGCGCAGAAGACTGAAGCAAAGCACTGAGAACGTGAGCGCGGCGGAGAAGAAGCAAGGGAGATCTTACCAAGTAACCCCGATCTCATCTCTTCTCGCGAATCTGGGGCGGCCTTGCCCTAATCGCCGTCGACGGGGATCACCCGTCATGATCCCGTCAACGCCTCCCACGCGCCGTCTTGACGTCGTACGTACTTTGCTCTACGTTACGAGCATTACGGACACGGGGGGCGCCGCCTCGTACTTAACAGGCCGCGGGGCACGGCTGTCTGTCCTCCTGCATCGACATGGACCCAGAGGACGAGCCAGGGACGAGCGCGAGCGTAGCAGGGAGGAAGATGGAGGGAACTGATGGGAGCGAGGCGGGATATGTATCAGCCGGCCGCGGCGGGCACAAGCGACGGCGTGCTGGTGGCTTGTCATCATCTTCCCGTTTTCAAGTCTCCTCCCGCCTCTCCTCGTCGAGCCACCAAACGACTACGCCTTCCCGTTCTCCCTCCCCGCCGTCGACGAATTATGCCTACGCCACGCCTCATTCGGCAGAGATCAATACCACCGACAACGCCAATTCCCCGCTCTTGACGCTCCCGCCCGAGCTCCTCGAGCTCGTCGCCCTGCACCTCGCCACCCGCCCACCCAACCTCGGTCCCCCCGCTGCCCTCCTCCCCTTGCTCGCCACATGCCGCGCTCTGCGCGCGCGCCTCGGCTGGGGACGGAATTGGGCGCTCTGGGCACGCATCGCCCGTTGCAAATTCTCGTTCGCTGAGGATGGGGCGGGGTACATGCCGTACGCAGGCTACCCATGGGCTGCGCCGGATCCCGCCGACGACGACCTCGAATTGGATGGGCATGGAGGGACGAAGAATACGACGCAGACACGCACGGCGCACGCCCTCCGCGCGCGCACCCTCGCGCTGCGCACGATTCGCGCGGGCGATGTGCACGTCCCCGGCGCCGCGCGCGCTCTGCAAGTCGCGTATGGGATGCTGCTGGAGGACCGGTGGGAGGGCGCGCGGATGGATTGGACGCAACTGGACGTCGCGCTGGGGCGGGCGTCCGTTGCTGGTGCTGTAGGTGACGGGGACGGGTGGCGTACGCTTGGGAAGGGGAAGAATCGGCGCCAGCTTTTGTGGGCGGACGCGCGAGAGTTTGCGCTGTGTTACGTGCGGGAGCGGTTGTATGAGGGACGATTTGGGGAGCGTGATGCGGTTTTCGAGGTACGTTCCTTCATTCCAGTTCTATCTTCTCCACACCGTCTCTCCTATTGTATCCCCTTCGCGCGTTCTGTGCTGTCCATCGACGTCATCTCTCTACTTCGGCCCTCTGTCTGCTCCGCCTCTGCTGTGTACGCAGTCCAGCGAGACAGCTCTCGCTTCGACCGCGATAGCTTTTTGCGTCGCTGCGCCACGACGCCTTCCTCACATTCGTCTGTAATGCGCTTCATTCCGACTCCACCTTCCACCTTCCTCCTCCCTCCCTCCCTCCGCTCTCCCCGTACTCACTGTCTTCTTCCCCTGCTCGACGTCCATCCTTCCTTCACCTGCCTCATTCCCCATCCCCTCCCCATTCCCCTCCCTCGCTCCCTCGCTTCCTCGCTTCCTCCCTCCCCTCATCCCTCCCTCTTTCGTTTCCTACCCCTCCCTCCTCTTCCCTTTCTCCTTTCTCCCTCCTCCCCTCGCTCCCTCGCTCCCCCTCCCTCATTGACTTCCGTCTTTTGTCCTCTTACTAACACCTCTTCACAGAACTCGCACGAATCCCGCCCCGAATGGCACACCCCCGCCTGGCGCGCAGGATGGCCGCGCGACGCGGAAGGCACGGCGGCGGCGCTGTGGGTGCTTTGGTTCTTCGAGGGGGTTGGTGAGTGCCTTTTTTTTGGTCGATTTTTCGTTCTTTTTCGGGGAGGAGAGGGGAGGGAGCGGGGCGCGGTGCGCGCGCAGAAACAGCGTGAAGGCGATGAGGATGCGTCCCGCCTCTCAGCGTCGCGTGGGCACTTGTGCGGCTTGCGTCGTCGCTGAGACGTGTGGGTCCGCGTTCGCGTTCCTGCGTTTTTCAGGCGGAGCGTGCGCTGGAGTACGCGAGGAGCGTTCACCATTCGCGATCTTTCATACGAGGGGACAAGGATGGCTGCGGCCTGTGTCGGCGTCGAGTCGAGCCGCGCGTTCGCGTCATGGCGTTCCTGCGTGTTTTAAGCAGCGCAGCAGCCGCGCGCCTGCGAGTGCGATCATTTGCTTGCGAGGAAGACATGGAGAATTGTCTCCCCCCTCCTTCACATCCTCATTTCGCTTCCTTTTTTTTTCATCCCATTCCTTCCAAACCCCAGCTAACACCTACGTTCTCACAGAAACGCTCGCAGCCGAATCAGAGCCTCTCCGCCGACATATCATGAGTCTGCTCTTGCCGTTGGTCGTGGCACCGTTTCGGGTGAGTGTTATCTCATTTTGCTCTCGAGTTTGGGAGAGTGGGATTTCTTTCTTGGCTGCGCGGGGTTTGGCTCGGGCGCGGGGATTCCGGGGGACGCGTTCAGGGCTTTTGGCGGAGGGTTTTGCGCCTCTTTTTGGGCGGCTTTTTCTGCACGGGGAGTGGATGTGGAGGGACGTGGCGCTGGTGAACGCCTGAGGCATACTCGTGGTGCAGTTGCGTACGCGCCCTCTCAGACGGATGTGTCGACGCAGGCTCGAGGACGCGCGGACTGATTTCCATCATCATCTGCTCGCCGC